GAAATACCCCAAGTATCACATAAATCACCAAGCTGACTATCACAGAAATCAAAACTGACTGTGGTCCTTAAAAAATTAATTTTCTTACTGGTTTGTTTTTCAACAAGGGTTTCCCCAGTTTTTAAACTTATCAAAAACTTCAGATTTATTTTCAATCAACAAAACCCACACTTTCTTTGAAAAATCATCAATCAACGTCAGAAAATAATTTTTCCCACCATGAGTGGAAAAACCATAAGGACCCCACAAGTCAGCATGAATACAATCAAGCACATTAGTACACTTAGGCAGATCAGGAAAACCAACTCTAGACTGTTTTCCTAGCACACAGGGTTGCACACAATTCACAGAATCAAGTAGGGGTTTAGCATGACAAACATACAAGTTATTTTTCATCTCAGCTTTGAAAACAACTAAACAACCCTTCACAACTTTCATGATTCCCTTTCCCCATTTTCCCTTCAAACCCACATTTTCAAGAGAAGCACAAGATAGCAAATTACAGCATAGCTCAGGAACATGCCTAACATTCTTCAAAGTAAGCACATAACCAGAAGAAAACCTAAGGCATACATCTCCTATTCCTAGCACATTGCATTTCTTCTCATTTGCTAAAGACACAAAGCCATGCTCAATCTCTCTATAGTTTGAAAAAACATTTTTCAAAGGGGACATGTGAAAACTACAACCAGAATCTACCACCCAATCTGATTTACCCAAAGAATCAGATATCACAGAACTCAAATAGTCATAATCACATGGATTTTTCATCATAAAAACATCACCTAAATCATCTACACACGTAGTCAAATTAGCATGCTCACTATGCTCATTTTTCCTAGATTTAGGACAGTCTCTTATGAAATGACCAGATTCGTGACAATAATAGCAACGCCTCGAACTAGACCTAGACTTAGATCTATGTCGTCTACTATTATCTTCTCTACCCCTCACATGCATAACTTCCTCGGATTTTCTACCCTCACCCATCTGTTTTAAATCTAATTCCTTACTCTTAAGACCATTTACCACAATGTCAAGAGTCACATTATCTCTACCATACTTAATAGCAGATTTCACATCACTAAAGGAATCAGGAATAGCATTTAAAAGAGCAATAGGGGAATAATCATCTATATGTTTATCACCACACAACTTAATATCCGAAATAAGTTTGGTAAAAACATCTAGATTTTCTTCAATATCTATAGACATATCTAGTCTAAATTTGAAGAACTTTTCAAGTAAAAATATCCGGTTAGGCAAAGAGGTTTCAGTATAAAGTTCATTCAATTTATTCCACAGAATTTTAGCACTTTCTAAAATTCCAACTTTTCTAATCACAGAGTCAGATAAGTTCAAATAAATCACAGAACATGCATTTTCATTCATTTCAGCCCTTTTCTCTTCTGTGTCAGAAATTAAATAGGTTTCGCCAACTGCTTTAAAACATTTTTGTTGTATTAAAATACATTTAATTTTTTGCTTCCAAATGCTAAAATCAGATTTTCCATTAAATGGAGCCATACCGTACTGATTATAAGCAGACATTTTCACAGAGAAAAAATAAGCAACAAAAGAAAATGTAAATTTCGCTGAAAAACAATTGAAATATTTATAAGGCTACAATTATACGGAGCAACTAGCACAAACACGTGGGGAGTATTAATGAGCACCAAACTCAACTTCAAACCCCTTGTTCTTCCGTATAAGCACAAATAAATAATAAATTTTCAGCACAAACACAATACAACAATTCAATCAATTTAAAAGCAGTAATAAACCTAAAACATAATTTCTACACAATAAAAGATTAAATCACTACAAAAGCGATAAAAAGGATAAAAGTCAATATACCGGAGCGAAACCCTAGGAGAGGCGTTTCGACCTTACCCACCCAATTAAAAAATTGGGATTTTCGGACTGTTGACTGAGAGTTGACCAACGTTGACCACGTCTCTCGTGTGCTCCAAGTCCAACTCCAATAGTCCAGAAGTCCAGCCCGATGCTTCAAGCACAAAGCTTGCTGCTACCAGCCTCTGCTTCAAGTTGACAAGCGTACAAGGGTAGCAACGAGGTTTCCAGCAACCCAACTGCCCAGCGGCCCAAGTTCTGCCCTGGTTCAGCAACTCAGCAGTGCAAAGGTCGAGCCCAAATCCAGCTGTCCAAAAGCTCCAGCCCACTGCGTCCAGCTATGGTCCTCCAACGAACAGAGCAACCCAGCGGCTCAAGTTCGTCCAAGCGTCAGCCTCACGAGCAGATTTAGATCCGAAATCCAGGTCTCGCGATGATGGAGCTCAGCAACCCGGCAAACTCACAGGCCAAGAACCAGCGAGCAAATCCCTGCGACGGCGAGCTAGACCAACAGTGATGGTCCGTGACCTCTTCGAGCAGAGAATTGACGGCGTGAACTCGGACCAACCTCAGCTTATGGACGGCGATTCAGCACCAGCAAGCGGCAAATTAACTCCGGCGATGGGATCCTGGTGCGGACAAATCTCCAGGCGGCGAGTTTCCGGCGAGAACCTCCCTACGACGGCCTCAGCGACGAACAGATCGGCGAGCTCTCTCCAGCGACGATTCCCAGGCAGAAGGATGCTCCAGCGACGTCCTCGACCAACGAGCTCTGGATTTGACGAACAGTCTTCTACCTACGAGCGACGGAATTGGGACGATTTCTCTGCCTCAAGCGTCTGTTCCAGCGTCCATGCGACCAAGCACAGCAACTCGGTGACAAACGGCTAGCTTCGTGACAGGTGATGACACCAGCGTCAACGTGGAAACTGTGGCCCAGATCCGGCGAAGCTTTCAGTAGCTTCTACCGGCGTCGTACGGCGGCGGGCAATGGCAGAGCATTTCAGATGTCGGAAACCGGCGAAAATCACGGCAACAATAACCCTAGGCTCTGATACCACTGTTGAGGATCGATTCCGTCACCGGATTCCGGCTCAGGCAGTCCGGACGTCGGTTTTCCCAGTTGTCTCTTGTGCACACCTAGGCTAAGGGAGCAACACACCACTCTAACCTCGCCAACACTCACACTCACCTCTCCAAGAAGGATTCTCACCTCACAAAGAAGGATAATAGCTTCACTCACCAAGAGGAAGATGAAGGGGGAAACACTCTGAGTTTCACACGCAGAGAACAAAGGGGCAGTGAGTGTCCTTATAACAGGGAAGCATTTGGATTTATTAGAAGAGCTCTCAAATAATACACTGCACACACAGCTCACCAATAGCTCAACAAGAGCTGAATTATTTTCTAACGGGAGGGGAAAATACTGATAGGCCAGATAGATAAATGAGTACAGTGTAGTGGGCTGCTAGAAGGTGTGTTGACCATTATTAATATACAAAAAACGTTTGGGCCAACAATATATTAACAGAATAGAATGGGGCCGTGGGAAGAAGCAATGGGGAAGAAGAGATTGAAGAAAAGTGGAGAGGGAGTTGCAGAGTGAAGAAGTGGAAAAAGAAAAAAGGGGAATGAAGGAGGCAGTTGGGGGCGGATGAAGAGAGGGGGTGCGAACCAGAAAAGAAAACGGTATTAGAAAAGTCAAAGGAAGGGAAAAGCAAAAAAATGAGAAAACAGTATTAGAAAAGTTGATATGGCATCCACATTTCAGACCACATAAGCATTACGATGGGCTACCGGCTGCGGTTAAATGATAAATTTGATTAGAATTTGAGACTTTATGCACCTAATTGATTGACAAAATAATAAATAGACTCAATTGACTTTTTTAAAATAGTACATGGACTAATTTGACAATTTTTCCAATTATTATACTTAAATAGAGCATACTAGTTTATAAAATTAGTTTATACTAGTTTAAAATATATTAGGATTTAGAACTTCGACAAAGACGCGCGTGCACGATTGTAAGATGCGAGAACTAAATAAAACCACAAGAATTTAAAGTGGTTCACCGATGAGAATACCCAACTAGTCCACTATGCGAACTAGAGAGATTTATTACTAAGAGAACTAGAGAATGTGCTTTCTTTGGTTCCAAGCACCCTGGGGCGGAACCAGACCTATATATAAGCCTCGGCTGAGAAACACATCAAGTGATCGGGTCACAAGTCAACCCGGATTTGGCGGGTCAATCCGATCAACGTCAGAAAAATTCGGTCAATTTTATACTGGTATAACATTTTATAGAAATAAAGATATATTAATATATAAAAAAATTAAAAAAATTATTCTTCATTACAACAATAATATAATCCTAATACTTAAAACGCATTTTGTTATATACAAGTCTCCCTCCGTCCCCTTAAGTTTGTCCCGTTTTACCTTTTTCGTCAGTCCCACTAAGTTTGTCCCATACCATATTTGGTAACATTTGAGTGGTTAGAATTCATTCTTACTTTATTTATACTTTATCAATTCAATACCAACCACACAATTCCACTTTTTCTTAAAAACCACACCACACCCCTCCGTCCCAAACTTAGGGGGACGGAGGGAGTATTTGATAGTGTTATTTGATATGTTTCTGTTTTAAAATATTCAAATATTTCACTATATTGTTAAAAAAGAATACTTAATCATTTCGGAATAGTTAATGTTCAAATATATATTCACACATTCAAATAATTAAAATGGTAAAAGTTTTAACCTAAACAATGAATTAGTCACAAGGTAAAATGCTACTACGTAATTGCTAAACAACTAAATAATTAAAAAAACATTACTACACTCGCAAAAAATAATCGAAATATAATATACGATAGCATTAATCGCAACTTTGAAAGAAACTCAAATCCAAATAATCGAAAATTGAATATGTAAAAGTCTAGTAGAACTATAGAGCAATAAAATAATAAAATAACAGCAAGTTGAACAATTAAATAATACTCCATCTGTATCGCATATATCTTCTCACTTCCAAATTGGGTGAGATTAAGAATAGTGAAAGAGGATATAAATTATTGAGGGTATGATAGAAAGATAGTGAATAATGTGATGGAATGAAGAATAAATTCAAAAAATAGGTGTAATAGTGTATTATTTTTTTAATTATTTAGGATATGATGAGAATATTTAGAACTGGGAAGATATAAATGTTACATCCAAAAAAGAAAAGTGAGAAGATATGAATATTACAGAGGGAGTACTCCGTAAACATGTAGGCCACTAGGCCGTAGCTTTGAAACGTAATGGAGTAGCAGAGGCTTCCCTTTCCTCTATCGCGGCGGACCACAGACCTTACGCCTGTTGTTTAGGATTACCAAATACCCCCATTTCAGCATTTAGGTAAAATAAAAGAAAAATGTTTTGGGTACACGAAATGTGTACACATTTCTGTCCTTCACAGAAATTTTGTCTGTCACAGACAACTCAAAATGTGTACCCCCAAGAAACGAGTTGTATGTGACTGTGCCGACTGTGAAAGACAAAATTTCTGTGAAGGCGGAAATGTGTACACATTTTGTGTACCCAAAGCAAAACTCAAAATAAAATGGGCCTTTGACAACGCATTAACATCAAGAAAATTCTAAATAAATTCGGCCATTAAGCCCAACGACGTCGTTTCATTCCTTTTAAATACTTAACCAAACGGCGTCGTTTGTATTAAGCAAAAACAGATCTAAATTTTGAAATACAGTACTCGACAATCGCCCAACAGCAGCACAGAGGTCGATGGGAAACACCAGGAGCAGGGGAAGAAGAAGACCGGGCGCTGACATATATACACCCTAAAATCTCCGGCAAAGGGGAGGCGCCAGCACCGGCTCGCTCCCCTGGTTCCGCCCCTGCAAGCAACCTAGTTTCGGCCCCAATAAACCTAACTTCGACCTCAAGCAATTGGGCTGTGTTCCGCCTCAAGCATCCCAACATCTTTCCTTCTACATTTGAGTGGATGAGATCTCCACCACCCAACACAATATCCATATAAATTTAGTCCTATTTTGTTCTTTTATACTCCGTATAAGCAACCCAATGACAAACTACGATCATCAGAACCAAGGAGTACAACATTATTTCAGTCAAAAGGCACAAAACAATGCAAATACCGAAACACATTATTCATCAAACTCTCATCACCAATCCTCGAGCAATCAGTCAGGAAAAAAACCAGTACACAATAGAGACCAGATAGATAACTGTACTTATTTGTTGCTTCCGGGAATTGTGACATACTCCAAAAACTCTGGATCATTTTTCAGCGCCTTTAGTGTTCGATGATGAAGGCAGAGCTCCATGTCCACACTCCCTTCTTCCGGTCCAGCAAATAATGTCACCTTCCCTTCTATCTTATTCGCCATTCCGCTCCTCACTGCAACCGGTTTCCCCCACCCGAAATCCGTCCCGTAGACGTCGAACCGGGGAGAGCTGCTGATCCCCAGCATATTCGCTGGGAAACTCTTCATCCTGTGAAGAACGGGAGATTTCACCCAGCTCATATACCGATTCACTATTTCTTCCTGTGTATACTTCTGAACTGCTTCCTTCATCCGCCCCGCTGTCCACCCCAATCCATTCTCCAGCACCTCCTCTGCTTTTGCCGTCACCACCTCGAAGAAAGCCGCGTTCCCCCAATATGCTTCCGGCAGAGACATCCTCGGACGCGCACCTACGATTATCATGATATTAACGTCTTCGTTACTGCCTAGGTTTTTTGCTCGGATGACAGATCTCCAGAGATGAGCAAGATATGACATCAGGGAGGAGATGGGGTTTTCCGTTACTCCCATTTCAGAGTTTGCTCTGTTTTTGAGCTTAGCTATGTTTTCTTTGCTCAGGCGGAATACCGCCTCCGGTAATGGTGGCGGCGGCGTGAAAGCAGAAACATCTAGCGGCGAGGGAGGGAGACGAATCGGGCAAGTGGTCTTGTCCGGGAACCACCGTTCCAGGATCGGGGTTTTCGAGATCTGACGGTGGGAATCACGCGAAAGCTCGGACCATGACCGGAAGAAATTCCAGAAGGAACCGCCGTCGGCGAGGGCGTGATTCAGAGTGCAGCCGATGAAGTAGCCGTCAAGAAGCTCCGTCACTTGCACACCCAGCAGCGGCTTGCAGATCCCGTCGGAGTTGCGAGTGTTATTCAGGGGAAAGAATGAGCGGATGATCTTCGAAACGTCGTCGTTTGAGGGGTCGAGAATGGCCGCCACCGCCAAGCCGGCGGCCTTGGCTTCCACGAATTCCACACCGGCATTATTGCACTCCACGAAAACGACGGTGGAGGTGTTATTGTCATTCTCTCCGTCGTTGCTGGTGGTTTCGGAGGCGAATCGTCCGGCAAGCGGCGGAAAGAAATCGAGGGTGGAGGAGAGAGAGGTTTTCAAGTGGTGAATCAATTTGGAGTTGAAGAGTTGGTGTTGTTGATGAGGAGTGGGTTTGTGGAAGAGGAGGCCTTTCTGGATGGGTCCGATTGGGAGGAACTGCAGATCCCATGGAGTTAAATCAACCCTAGCGGCGGCGGCGGCGGCTCTTTCCGCCGTTGCTACGACTAAGCAGGTAGATATGACTTCAACTTCTGCCATGGATGGTGGAAAAAAACATTCAGAGGCTGCTGTAACCTGCACCAGGGATTTTTATCAACACAGTTTTTCATGGCCAAACTACCAAATTAGTAAAAAAAAAAACTAAAATGCATAAATAGTCCCTAAATTATTAGTCATCATATCGTTTTGATCCTTCAACTAATAATTCTACCATTTTAGTCTCTAATCTATTTAATCTATATTAATTCGGTCCTTCCGTTAGTGTTTGACGTTAGACAAATGCTAAGTAAGTGCATGTATGTGTAAATCAACATACTTATTAGACAAAATATAATTTATAAATTTCCTGATTTAATATCTAAATAAATTAGAATGAAAATCACTATCAAATCATAATATAACGCATTGAATGTTTTTATTTGGACTGGAATTTTCAGGTCTGATCTAGTCTGGTATAAAGTGGTTTGGTCTGGTAAACGTCTGGTCTCTGTGTATTTTATAATTGTCCAAGTCTTGTCTAGTCTGATCTGGTCTATGACTAAAAAGAGTCCAATTAAAAACATCCTTACATACATATTCCTTATACGAATTAATATTGTTCAAGTTTTCATTTAAAGTATAACATACTAGATATTGTTTATAAAAATTTCGGAGTCTTTATATGTGTGTGTATAATCACTTATTCATTCATCTATATAATAATTATGAATATTACGTCAGTAGATACTCTAATAAAAAAATCATTTATTAAGCTATTATAGTATATTGATCTAATTTAAATCAATTTTTTATTAATCACATTAATTTAGGAAATTTCCTGCTATGCAATAAGATTTTCCTGTTATGCAACTAAAACTAAAGTTTTTATCCCATTCATATATAACAAGTTTTTTTTTTACTCCAAGGTGTCTGGGGGAGGGGGCCTGGAGTAATCAGGGCTGAAACTCATTCAATTGAGTTTCAAACCCTTATGTGCCTAACGGGATTTGAACTGAAACCTCCCACTAGGCACGATAATCTCACAACCAACTGGGCAAAAATGCTTGGTTGCATACATAACACGTTAAGTACTTAAGTTTGGGAGTTTTACTAATCTTTATTTTTGCATATGCAATGAGAATATGGTGGAAAACAAAATAAAAAACTAAATATAGTCCAAAGAAATGAAAAAATATTTTGTTAATTTATGAAACATGTAATAACTTCATAAATACTAATAGTTAATTATTATGTACATATCTTTGTATATACAGAGAGTATGGTGGAAAATCACATAAAAAAACTGTTTAGAGTAAAAAAGATGAAAAAAAAATTGTCTTGATTAGTGAAGCATTTAATAACTCCATAAACCGCAATAATTAAAAATTATGTAAGTATTTAATTAATAGTTACAATGTATAAATAACACATTAAAAATGAAATAAATATAAATATAATAATTGAAAAATAGAAACGTAAAAAACCAAATTTCATTTGGACACATGAAAATAAAGATATAATGATGTAATATTCTGAAACTAGATTAGCTACTAAAAAATTACTAATATTTGTGTAGTTCCATATTGTGTAAAATTAAGATATCACATTTGCTCTACTGTCAAATAGATTAATATGGATCAAATAGATTAAGGACTAAAATGATATATTTAAACGGAAAGAATTAACGGAAGGACTTGATTAATATGGATCAAATAGATTAAGGGCTAAAATAATATATTTAATAGTTTAAGGACCAAAATGATATGATGCTGATAATTTAGGGACCATTTATGCATTTTACTCAAAAAAAAAAATAAGAGGCCAAATTACCAGGCATATTTATCAACACGGTTTTATTAAATTTATTGTTAAAAAAACCACCTTGATAAAAGAAGTCTTTGTGACAAATGAGATGTTTTTACTTGGATCGTTTTTAGTCCCAAATCAGACCAGATCCGACTGAAACAGATCAGATCATACCAAACTAGACTTAAACACACCAGATTAAACCAGACAATACTTCCGTAATTATAAAATACAAAGAGACCATACATATTCCAGACCAGACCAGGACAGACTTAAACAGACTACACTAGATCAGACCGAACTTAAACAAACCAAACCAGACCAGTAAATTTTACTCCAAGTAAAAAATCCTTGATCATTTATTTTAGTAAGATACTTTTAATTCTCGATTTTAGAATTTTCAATATTTCATATCCTAAGTATTGTGAAATTGACATTTTAATTTTTCTACTTTAATTTTGTAATGAAAAGTGGCGTATTAAGGGAGTGTTTGCCATTGATTAAAAAAAGTGCTTTTCAGCTTTTGGCTTAAAAAAAGTTAAAAAGAGTGTTTTCAAATGACAGCTTCTGCTTAAATTAATCACTTAAAAGCTAAAAGCTGGAAGCAGGTGGAAGGGTGCTTTAAACTGCTTTTCACTTTTTCTATTACACAAAAAGTACTTCTTTTACCAAACACTACCAACTTTTACTTTTTCAGAATCACTTTTTCCTCAAACACTACCAACTTTAACTATTAATCACTTTTCCCAAAATCACTTTAAAAAAATCACTTCTTTAAAGTTGAAGCAATTGCAAACACTCCCTAAAAATAGGCTAAAGGGTCAAATAAACCTTTGAACTAACTTAATTAAAAAGTGCAAATCACCCCTTATATAGGAGACTCTGTCCGGCCATCCCCATTTGGGATGCTTCCCGGTGGAATTTTTTGATGAATTTTTTTTAGCATCTTCTTCATTATGTCCAGTTTACCCATACTAAATTTCAGATAAAAATTCAACTAGGAAGACAGTCAAATGATTTTCTGAAATGTAATGTGTTGTTTAAGTGCGCAGTTATCTTAAAAAATTCATTTGACTACCTTCCTAATTGAATTTATAGTTAAAATTTGGCATAAGTAAACTAGTCTTAATGAAGAAGATGCTCAAAAAATTTCATCAAAAAATTCCACCGGGAAGCGCCCCAAATGGCAATGGCCGGACATAGCCTCCTATACAAGGGGTGATTTGCACTCTTTAAGTTAGTTCGATTGCCTATTTGACCCTTTAACCTTAAATATATCTAACGGTCGTGTTTGAAAATAGCAGTTGTCTGTTAGCTAATAGCCTATTGACCCAACGGATTCATACTAGCAAAATCTGTTAGCTTTTTTAACTCAACACTTTCATTAGCGGTTTGGAAAAACTATTAGTAAATTAACTGTTTGTGATTAATATTCAGACGTAAAATGATCATTAAGGATATGAATTTAAAAAGTGTATATATTTAGCTTAATTTTATTTATTTTTTATTTTTAATAAGCCTTGGAATTTTTTTAAGAATTATACTACGTATTTATGTATATTTTAAATGATTACTATCACTATCATTTTTAACATATACTTCGTATGTACATACTAGTTTTTTTTACGCGCCATGCGCGATTAAGTTTATGCCCAATATATATGTAATGTAAATATTAACTGATTTTGGTGGTTTACCTTTCGGGTTAAAAAAAAAGTAAATATTAACATATTTTCTAGATAGCCATATTTAATTGTACACGTGCAGATCGGAACATTTGAAACATTTGAAAGTAAATTTAGATATCATCAGAGCCGGCCCTAGGGGCAACCGTCCTAGGCCCCGAAAAATAGCAAAAAAGGCTCAACTTGTTTCTTTATATATAGCGTGAGTAGTTTTTATCCGTCCTGGGATATATGATTCTTAAATAAATTTTGTGAGCATGTTCTTCATGAAGTTTAGATTAGGTCCTCAAAATTTTAGATTAAAATTTGATCGGTACGCCAGTTAAATAAATTACTGAAATACAATGCATTTTGTACATATGTTTCGGCGCAGTGTTTTTGAATAATTTATTTGATTGACATCTCGATTGAGTTTTAAGATGAGCTTTTGTTGACATAATCCTCACTTAATGAATAACATGATATGTTCACAAAGTTTCTTTAACAATCACCCAGATTCTCCATTAAAGGTTAGTCATATTAGTCTTTAACACTGGAGAAGCCCATGGGTCGATTGAGTTTTAAGATGATCTTTTGTTGACATAATCCTCACTTAATGAATAACATGACATAGATTCACTTTAGCTTATTTGCGCATTCGATTATAGTTTCTGTGAGCCGATCCGTACAAGATATCTTATCATTCAGTTCGGTAAAATTCATGAATAATATGCTCAAAACATTTCATCAATAATTGAGACTATTCTAATGAGAACTTATCTTAAAATGAGAATTCCTTATAATGAGAGTTTTTATTAACAATTTTTCAATTTAATCAATTATTGGTATTTAGTAGGGTGCACGTACGGTCCTTTGTGTAATTATTCAAAAGTCAAACAACATACTTTTAGTCATTAATAACATTATTACAAAAAGGGAAAATTATTATTAGCCCCCTAAAGTTATGACATAATTATTAATGCAACCTTTCATTTTTAAAAATCAATTAGTTACCCCCTGAGTTTTGATCATTCTCACTACATGCCCCCTCATGTTAATATTTGTTAAATTGAATTTAATATAACTCTTAAATTCAATACAAATTGTTTGTGAAATTAATTTTTACAGTAAATCTGTAAAACACAATTTATTATCATAATTATGAGTCATTGTTTTTATCGTTGTTTTTCTACTTAGCTACTCGATCGTGAAATAAATATTGATCAAAGTAGTTAAGGCAGAGAACCAATGTCACTTCTTTCGTGTGTAGCAAAGAACCAAGAAGAAAATGAATTTTATCAATCCATGACCTAAAAGATTGATCTAGTATTTATAAGAGACCTAAAAGACAAAAATGTATCGATAGAGGGCCTGAATAAATGAAATCTATCAATCTAAGAACTAAAATATAAATCATAGATTTTGATTTGTTTAATTTTTTATTAATTCTATTACTAATTTTGATGATTTATTCTTGACAAAAAGTTTATTAGTTTAATAAGCTTAAATGATATTTAACTTTTTAAATTAAAAAATACTCCGGGGTATAAAAATTTATGATATTTTGTATCTTACTCGTGAGTCTTCTCGCTTAACTACTTTCATTATTCCACGATTGAGTAGCTAAGCATAAAAATAACGGTAAACAATAACAATGACTTATAA